CCGGAAATGTATACAATAATAATAATAATAATATATAATATTATCAAACTATATATAAAATAATATATTTTTTGTTTTATAAACCTTCTACTAAATCCAATTATTTTATTTGATTATGTTTTGTTATGTTAACTAATCTAAATGTTTGAAATCCTACAAAATTTTAATTTTCACAAAAAAAAAAAAAAGATCCAATTAAAGTAAATTAAACTTTAAAATAAAATAATAATAATAATAATAATTTCAAATAATGCTTTAACGGTTATTTGTAAATTTGAATGTGATTCAAAATCAATCAAAATTTTTATGTTTTTTTGGTTTAAATAAGAAACTTTTGTAAAAATTCTAAAATAAATCATAATTTTGGACATTTTGTTTGTTGTGGTTCAACATGCAAAACTTAAAAATGTTTAAAAAATACAAGTGTGGTCGTTATTATGGCCAAAAGGGGCCAAAAAAAGGGGGCAAAACAACGGTTTTAACGGTTATTTTTCCACAGATATCAACATTATCAAATACCCACCTTAATCATGGACATTTTTCTTAAGCAAGATATACAGAAGACATGCTTTCATGTCTCTTGCCATGTCTTACATAGATTTAGGTGGGTACAACAACAGATTACATCAAAGACATATAAAGTATGTATGAATAATGTGAAAAAAACTTACCCCCGCATGCCACTTTGAAATCGCTGCAACAATCGCCTAATTTTAAACAAGCATGATCGCAATAACACGGTTTGTCACTTAAATCTTCGATAATTGCATTTATTGGAGCTTTTTGTACGACGCAAGAAGAGTCCCTACCGGGGCAACATAAATTTGCTTCTCTGCAACTTCCACCTAAACAACCGTTTAACGAAAAAGCAAATATAAGAAATAACTCCCAAAACATTTTTAAATAAATATATATATATCAATCGTATTTAATGTGATTTAAATAATAAAAAAAAAAAAAAAATGAAATAAATGCGTCGATTTCTTAAAAAAAATAAAATAAAATTTATCGAAGTGTAATTAACTAACGGATTGTGAGGAGAGTACGCGCGCGAAAATGTCAAACAAAATTTTTTTTGGTTTGTCTAACGACACGCTTCCGTTACTCGTTTGTCAGTACTGAAACTCAAATCTTATTAAATATATATATCTGTATTTTCTAGCTTGATGACACTTAATGGTAATAGCGCGCTCTTACGTGTTTTTTTAAAACTAATTTTCATTGCGCATGCTTGTGACGAAAAATTACACTACTGCCATCTATTTTAAAATTTTAAAACTACACAACACCTAAAATTAAATTTTAAAAATTTAAATTTTATTATAAAAGTATTTTTCCACTGTTTTGTAAGGAAAACAAATAAGAAAACAATTTAAAAAACAAAAATAATAAAAAAAAATAGTTAATTTGATAAGAAAAAAACTTTTTTTTTACTTACTCAAATGAAATTTTGACACTCTCAAAAATAGTTTTTTTCTATTTTAAATTCAGAATTGTAAAAATTTTATATTTTTATTTTAAAAATTAACAACATTTTTTTTTTTTTTTTCACTAACATTTTATCATTATTTTTCTATAAAATGAAAAATTTCAAAAACAACTTCAACCATAATTAAAATAATTATCATCCATTCCAGTCTAGTGTGATGTTTATCATTTAAATGAGACGATAATAAATCCACAAGTTCTAAACAATGATTAAGTTTTTCATTAATAACCTAAAATTAAAAAAAAAATATCAAAAGTTGTTATAAATTTTCAAATGTGAGGAACAATAATAATAATAATAATAATAATGCTCAAGGTGTGGTTTTTTTTTTTTTTCATTTTACTTTTGTTCTTTTATTTATGCAGTAGTAACTAAAAACAGATTGATATATTTTTTCTAATTCTTCTCGATCCCAATAAAAATCGGGAGTATCTAACAAATCGCTGTTTAAATTTATTGAATGTCTCAAAGCAAACAATTGTCCAGTTTTTTGCAAAACTTCATCCCTGGAAACCTTGATAATTTTTCCTAGTTTTAAATCCTGAAAATTAACATCAAATTATTGTAATCATATTAATTTATAATTTAAAAAAAAAATTTAAATATATTTACCTCAGTTACTGGCTTCATTTCATCTATGTACTGTTCAAGATTCGCTTCAAAAGTTCCTAACTGAACAGATAAAGCTAAAGCATTCGAAACGGCAAATTTTTCTAAAGTTAGGTTTTCATTATTGGAAAAAACTAGTGAATTATTTATAATTTGTGTTTTACTCCTGGAAACAAAAAATTAATTAATAATATTTTCATTAAAAATATATTTTTGTTGTGATTCAGTAGTATATGATGAAAACTTACTTGCTTGAGGAATAAGAATAATTGATAACTTCACTTTCATTCTGTATGATATCAAAATTAAAACTGTTTAATTCATAATTTTTAATAAAATCTAATATTGTTTTTATTTCTGATTTTGGAACATTCCACATAACAACAGAGCCATCCCTAAATAAAAATAATTGTTTACTATTCAATTCTGAATCTGTAGTGCTAACTGCATGAAGAGCATCAACAGAACCTAAAAAAAATTAAAAAATAAAATATATTAATTAATAAAATTTTTAAGATAATTAAGTAAAGAAAAACTTACTTTCAAATTCTGAATTAAATTCAGACGGCATGTATTTTAAAAATTTATTTATATCAAGGTTTATAGATTCCAAATTATATTCTTCTGCCGTATTAAAGGCAGTCACTTGAAAACCTTCTACATTACTAAAAATAATTGATTTTTTTTTCTTTACCGGCCTTTTTTTTATAATGCTCGGTACAACAGAAGAAAGAAACCTCGTTTGCTCATTAAAAATTTGAGCTTTATTAAAATGCATAAAACTATAAAATTTTGAATGTGAATTAAGTTTAATAAGATTATTTTTATTTAAATAATTATTAAAAATTAATAATTTAAAAGTAAATGTTTTTAAATTCATTTTTTATGTTAAAGTTAAATCAAAGTACTTTTTACTCAATTTACAAAAGTTTGCGTTACGAATAATTTAACCGCGAAGTAATAGAAACATTGTTTTGAAACAAAGTTTTAAAACAATGCTAATAACGTAATAGGAATTAAAGTGAATTAGACTCGTAAACATTTTAATATATATAGGTTTAAGGTTAACAATATTTATTTTTATTATGTATCCAAGACGTTTCGAACCTAATTACGAGGCTACATTAACATTAATTAGACATTTGGATAATGATGGTCTTAAGGAATTAGTTAATAACGATGAAGCTGTCGAAGAACTTGTTAATAATTGTGATCAGAAAAAAGAATTAGAAATGGAAAAAGAATTAATAATGACAAAAAATAAATCAGTTGCAGAGTATAATTTATCATTAGCACCTAAATTAGAATCTGGTAAATCGAAATTAAAAGAATTATATGATTCCGTGCAAGAACAATGGGAAGCAATCAAAGAAAAACAATCTCAAATTAGTAAGTGATATTTTTAATTGTCAAAATCATATGTCAAACAAACAAAAAAAATTATTTACTACCATATATATATAAAGTTCATAATTACGTAATTTTATATAATTACGTTTTATTTATAAATTGCTATAATTTGAATTATTATTTTTCAATTCCCTTATTATTTACTTAAAAAGGTAATTAAATATGATTTTAATTTTAGGAAATAGTGCCGGAGAAGTCAATGGAGATACTGCACTTGCCTTATTACAAGCTGCTGCTGCTGAATCGGAAGAAAAATCAGAAGTAATTTTTTTTATAAAATAGTACTTATTTTAAGAAAAAAAAATTCTTTTTATCCTAATTACATAAATAATATATATAAAAAAAACAGCCTAGTTTTACAAGAATTTAATGTTTTATTACTTATATATTTGACTCGATAAATATTATTATTTTTCATTTCAGGATATTGCCGATCAATTTTACAATAAAGTTATCGAAATGGATGAATTTTTAGAACAATTTCAATCGGAGAGAAAATTAATGCACCTTCGTAGAGTTAAAGCTGATAAAATGAAAGAATTACTTGCCAAGAAAAATGGGGTAAATTATTAATTTTTTTTTATTATTATTATTATTATAAATAATAAAATTTAAGTATTTTTCATTAATTTAAATTTTTTTTTAACAGGTGGGAACAGTAGTCGAATCATTTAAATACCCATCAGTTCCTTATCCTATTGGAAATATAAATATGCCATATTATCCAATGTTAAAATAAAATAGTCATCATACTAAATTTAAGAGATAAAAAATATTAGTTCTTAAGTAAAAAGCACCAGTAATATTGTGAATATCTATATATTTTTGCTATATAACTCATCAGTCGTTTAATTTCCTACAAATATATTAAAACTAAAACATTGTTATTTACTATTAAAATAATTCTGCTATCTGCTATTTTATTAAACCATTTTATTTTATTAAATAAATAAATATAATAAATAATTGTTTTTATGCTGTTACATAAATTAAACGTTTTTTTTTATTTATTTATTTTCCTTTTACTCCTCCTCCTCCTAACTTCTCTACAAAAGATCTCTTAACTTAAATAATAATAAATTTTTTTAAAAAAAATTTGACCTACTAAAGAAAAAACTAATCTCAAAAAAAAAAAAAAAATATATACAAACTAAATATATTAGGAGATATAAATAATAAGAGGTATAAAAAAAAAAAAAAAATTATTTTTAGGCAATGAAAAATTAATAAACTTCCCTATTAAAATATATATGTTTGTATGTATTATCTTTGGTAAGGACAAATTATTAGGATTCACACCCACGCAATTATTCGATTCATGATCGACCTCTTACGATTTCTGATCGATTACGATATAATCGATGACGATCGATTTCACGTGTTATTTTCTACCTCGTGTTGTAAATATTATTGTGATATATAAAAAGTTAAATTTCTATATATATATATATATATATATATTTGTTATGTAGGGTAAACAAACGTTTGGGGCATGTATTACGTCACGTGACACGTAGTTTGTACCTTATTATGTGTCCGCCATATTGCTGATAATAAAATCCCGTATAAATATATATAAGCTCGTCGACGTGAAATTAAATTGAATTGTACACTTACGACAATTTCGTTGTTGTTTTTGTGTCTTCGCTCCATTCCTAAAAATTATTTATTGAATGCTACCTGCAACCTTGACCGTGAATTTGTGATAAAAACCTGTCGACGTCGATATCTTGTAGAAAATTTTGCGTTTGAGAAACGTTTTCCGTATTTTTACCATTCTTTTTTTCCGTTACGACGGCAACCTGGAAAAAGAAAAACGCCTTCCAGATTATTTGCTATTAAAAAAAATTAAAATTTTTAAACGAATGAATGGTACGCGGGCGTACCTGTTGTTGTTGTTGTTGAACGGTCGATTTTCGTTTTTTCAAAGGTAATATTGACATGAATCCATCTTCCGTATCTTCATCTTTTTTCTTATCCGCTTCCCTTATTTTTTCCATTTTTTCATCGTCTTCCGACAGAAAGTGAGATCTGGTTTCGTAATTAGTACCCGGTTCTTCGTGAGAATTCAATACCCTTTCGTCGCCCTCCTCCTCCTTATCCATTTTCGAACTTTTTTTAATTTTTTTATTTCTTTGATTCAAACCCGCGCGAACTTTATTGAAATCTCCCAAATATTTTTCAAATAAGTTTTTCGCTTCCGTTGATGAATTTAATTCGTGTTTGTGCGGATGTTTTAACCATTTGTAAAAAATTTGAAAAAAACTTCTAAATGACGGCTTTAAAAATAATTCTTTCGGATCCGATTCGTTAAAATCTCTTACATATTTCGATATTTCGTCGAGTTTTAAAAAATTTTCAACGTAGTGAAGTTTTTTCTTGCTTTTTTCCGTGAGTCCAGAAAATTTTGCCGGATCGTTTTCGAATTTTGGAAATTCTTTTATAATTTCGTATAAATTATCATCGCAAGATTTCGAATTCGACTCGTTTTTTATATCCGAGTTACCGGATTTCGATTTATCGTATGGAGTGCTGTGAAAAACTTCGATTTCCTTTCGAACGCTTTCATCCGAACCAAAACTAGCCTGCTTTTCTTCTGACGTGTCACAAGACAAATCCGATTTTGACTTTTCATTGTTTTATTCGCCTTCAGAGTTCCACTCCTCGTTCTTTCCTACATCTTCTCGTCACTTTATTTTTAGTCATTTGACTGAGATTTTCTTTGACGACTTTTATTTTTTGCAATGCACGTTTTCTTTTTTCTTCCAATTCTTCTTTTAAATCCGATTTCGTTACTTCTTCGCTCGTTGTGGATCGCAAGCAATTCGTTAAATTTGTGTAACTGTTGGTAAAATTCGCATCTTCTTTTATCGGTATATTTTCGCAAAGTTTTTTATCGCATTGCGTGAGCATTTGAATCTTGACCATGCTTAATATTTTCCCACTCGGCCGTCTTTTCAAACTATTATCCTCTTGATTTTCTTTTCCGATACCTATTATTTCTTTTGCTTTTGTTACGAGATCATCGATGACTTTTTTGTGCATTTCTTTCGTATCGGTTTTATCTTTTTCAGCGTCCACTCTAATATAATCCGTGATTTTAACAACTTGATCTTTGGAGAAGTCTTTGGACGGAGAATAATAATTTGTTGCGGATATCAGGGAAATATCTTCCAAATCTGGAGTTATCACAATACTGGGCGTGGGCGGAAAACTAGGCGTGTTTATCATGCTTAAATCGACATCGATGGTACTTATGTTCTCCCTTAACAATTTAGTTAAAGGCGTTTCTTCAATTGGTCTGATTCCCTCGTTGTCTTTAAACGGCGTGACTATTTTCAGGTCGTCAAGAACCGACGGAAGAAGTGAACCATCTTCATTTCCGTTAATAGAATAAGTATTTCGTTTAGCAGTCAGACTTATCTTTGACGGAGACAATGTCGTGGGTTTTTTGGCTGTGATTGCTTTTTTTCTAAGATTCTTTCGATTGCTTTTTTGAATTTTATTCGGTTTACGAATTTTCTTTTTTGCCGCTGGATACGCGTCTGTGTTATTATTATTCGTTATGAAACCTCTTAGATCCGCATCCCACATTTTTTTCGGGGGATTCGTATTTGAGTTTTTAGATTGTCCTATTACACAACCCACTCCGGTTAAATTTTCCCAAACATCACTTGGTTTTGAATTAGGACTCCTGGTGGCAATCGGTATGGATAATTCATTTAAAGAACACAATGAAGTTCCAGGGGTTTTTATATTTTCCTGTGAATCGTTTTTTTTGACTTCTTTACTTTTTTCCGGAGATTTCAAAGAATTTTCAAAAATTGGCGAATTAAAAAGAGTGTTGCGGACACTTCTTCGATTCAACACTCTTGGTTCAACCTGAGCTTTTGGAGATGTCCTTGATTTTTTTTCCCGCTTCTTTCTTGGAGGAGTTTCAAATTCTAATGCTCTGATATGACTTTTCCTTCTAGGAGTACTTAAGCTCAGTCTTTTTGAATTTCTTCTTGTTACAATCATAGGAGTTTCAGTTTTTTCTGCTTCAAGTTTTTTAGCATTTTCTTTTTCTTCATTAATTTCTTTGTCTTTATCCAACGATTCTTTCGGGATCAAAGTTTTATCATTCTCTTCTGAATTACTAATTTCGCAGTCTTCTTTACTCAAAGTCGGAGTTTTAATGGATGGCATATCAAGATTTCCTGAACTTTGAATTAAGTTTTCTTTGGAGTTTTGAACCAATGGAACTTTTTTCTTTATTTTTTTATTATTATTATTCTCCCTTCTTTTTTTAACATTATCAGATGATGTAATAGAAATTTTATTACCTAAACTTTGTTTTTTTTCTAATAAAGGCTGAACTGATACGACTGGGGGTAAAGAAACTTTACTTTTTTTAGGTAAAATCGAACGAAATCGAGATTTAGTGGGAACGACAGTCTGTGATAATAATATTAACGGAGTTTGTATTGTCGATATTGAAATATTATCGTTTTGAATTTCTACCGGTTGAGTTTCTGTAGCAGTAGTAGTAGATGCAGTAAATTCTTTTTCTAAATTATACATTAATTCCTTGTTTCCAAAAAAATCACTTTCAGTCATGATGTTTTCATCAATTGATAAAGGTTTAATTATTTTTTCACTAAATAACTGATTTACTGAATTACAAGTGTTTACATCATCTGTTATACCTAAAAAAAAAAAATATCACGATTAAATAATTTCAAAAAAATCATAATTTAAATGAGATGCTTTAAGGATCACTTACCTTCAAAAACCATTTCATTTTTTTTGTCTTGTGTTATTTCTTTTGAATTAAAAAAATCATTTTTTTGAGTATTTACCATGCCTACTTGATTTTGTATAGCATTTTGAGATTTATAATAATCAAGAGGAATAACTATTATTTGATTTCTATCTTGATCTATGGCCACATTTCCAACATCTGAGCTTACAAATACTACAGAGCTATTTTTAAGTGAAACATTTTCATTCTGTTGGTTTGAATTGTTTGATACCTAAAAATGTATTATTAAATACATATTAAGTTTAATAAATTCATCATTCAAACAAAAAAAAAAAATTACTGAATAGTCAAAAAAAACTTACGGCAAAAGGATCAAGGGCAAGATTTTGATTTTCTTTTTCTGCATGATCTAACTTGGTATTGTTTTCAAAATTAATACCATCTTTTAAAGGTGTACCTGTTGATTGATTAGGCATTAATTCTTTGTTTTCAGAACTCATATCCATAGCTAAAACATCTGAATGTAGGCACAATTCAGACATGTGATGTCCATTCGAATTTGATATAGATTCTGTGCAATTTTCATTCCTTCCATTTGTGGCAATTTCATTTTCGTGTGCACAATTTTTTTCATTAGAATTTTTATTAAATTCATCTGGAATTTCTGAACCTTCAACTAATACTTGCATTGGTAAACATTCAGGTGAGCTATTTTGATTTAAGTTTTTTTGTATTTCATGAATTTCATTTTCAACTTCTTCACTTGCTACATCTTTGTTTTTAGAACTTGATTCGTTTAAAACTTTAGATTGAAAACTTTCCAATATGGAATTATTACTATTACTATTAGGCAATGAATTAATATTGGTTTTATCGATAAAACAAGAGTCCTCACTTCCCAATGTATTTCCATTAATGTTTTCATTAACTATTTTATTATTAATACTTTCACAACTACTTTTTAATTTACCATTAACATTCGCTAAAAAATTGGCTGCATTTTTTTCGTCACACACTGACTTATCATTACCTTTTACATTTTTGTACTTCCAAAATAATATGAGCTCTAATATTTCAGAAAGACTTTCACATTTTAATTTTATTCTCTTATATAGTAATGATGTTTTACAAATTAAACTAACTTTATGATTAACTAAAAAAAAAAATAATTTTTGTTTAACATGAAATATGAATTTAATGAAATACTTATCAACACACATTTAAAAAAAAAATTCTAAATTTAATAATATTTTACCTAAACTGTGAATCACTGAAAATTCTTGTAATAAATCTTGTAATTCTTTACCCATTAATTTTGTATTAAACTGAAATCCATTTTTTACAACTTGATAACAATCTGTTAAGTAAGGAGAGCTTTCTAAAAACTGCAGAGCAATATCATGTAAATTTTCTTTAACAAGGTACCCTAAAAAAAGAAATTGTTATTTACTTAAATATTAATACATGACATTATAAATTACGCAATCATATATATTTGTGGGATAAAATTTGAAATCAAATAATAAATGTAATTCGAGCAGTAATTTGAGGTATTGAAAATGGCGGGAATAATCACAACCCTTTAGTTCACTAATAACATCCCATTTACTAAAAACCTGTGGAAATCCATAATTTTTAATTAAGTAAATTCTTATTATTTTAAATTAAGGTTAAAGTTTTAAAAAAATTACAAATAATTTGATAAAAATATTGTAAAAACATTAAATGATTACTGTTAATAAATAATAGTAAAAAATAAATAAATTTTATATTTAAAAACGAATATTACCATATACAAGCCTTGCAGTTTCTGAAGGCAATATTACGTATGGCATGATGAATAATTACTTTTTTGATTTATCAACAATTTGAAATACATTTAAAAATTATAAACATTTAATTTTTTTCATTTACTCAAAAAAAATTTATTAATTTTGATGAACACAATTTTAGTGGCAAAGCCTTCTAAATTCAGTTTCTTGTTATACAAACGTTATTTATTAAACAAGGAGGCTGCGTCAATAGAACCGTTGCAATTTTAATAAATGTCGCAACAACAACAAAAAAAAATTTCCTAAAATTAATATATATTTATATATTAATTTAAAATAAAGAAATTTTGATAATGAATTAATTTAAATAAAATTCCTAATTTATAACATTTATTTTAAACATTTTTTTTATCATCTGAAACATAAAATTTGTTTTTTTATTGAATATAAGGAAACCTAGTTAAATATAAAATCTAAGTTTAAAATATATATTTAAAAATAAAGATCAATTTTATTAATTTAAAATTTCTGTTTACAATAAACAAATAATAATACCTTCAAAAAAAAAAAAAAAAAAAAAGAAATATAAAAAATAATTATTTTTTTAATCGTTTATTTTGGCTTCTCGTATGAATTGATGATCTGTACGTTGAGGGATTTATATTAATTTTTGTTGAATTTATAGAACTTCTTGTTAATATGTTTAGCTTAGGTAAATTTTTTGTATTATCACATGATTCTTCAGTTTTACAACTTTGTTGCTTGGCTACGGATTTTTTACTTGAATTAACGTTACATTTAGTTAATCCGAGAAAAAACCAATCACAGATTTCCAAATTAATATTGCGAGACCTTAACGTTTTGACGGGCATATTAGATCTTAATCTCATCGGTGTAAAGTCTTTAACGTTATTATTGTTATTCCCACCATTATTATTATTGACAGCACCTCCACTGCTACTAGTATTATTTACGGAATTATTTTTATTATTATTATTACTATTATTATTATTATTAGAACTATCACCATTTCTATTATTTAATTGCAGTCTTTCTTGAAGATGATGATGATGATGATGATGATTTTGTTTTAAAGTTTCTTCAGAAGCTCCGCCTTTAGCACATCCCGACAAAATTATTTTATATTTACCCGCCACTTTTCGTGATTTATTATTTCCTTCATCTAATTTATTCTCCGTATCACTTTTGTAATCTTCATTGTCAAAAGCTCTTTTTTGATCCTCCGACCGCGTCCTCCTTTTAGGCTTCGGCTCATACATTAAGTTTATACTTTCCAAAAGAGAACTGTGTCTCCTCTTACTTTTAGATTTCGAACCTTTACCGTCGCTCAACAAATTTAATTCCGACTCTATGACGTCGTAATTTTTCCGCTTTTTACCTCTTTTACTACACCGCTTTAAACTTTTCCTTTGAAAAGAAGAATTCTTTTGGTAGTTTTTTGGCAAAGTACTTTCATTATTAATTTTGAGATCCGAAACTTTATTAATCAAACTACCGCCACGCAATTTCATTTTATTCACATTTTCATCTACCTCCTGATTACCATTCTCATCTTTAGCAATGGGTGCATCATTATTGTTTTTAATTTCTTTATTGTCTTCGCACGTTTTTAAGGCTTTTTCAACAACTTTATTACTACCAGTTGATTTATCAGTATTATTATTATCTGCAGGACGATTTGGATTTTTCAAAACGATGGAAAACAAAGATGATACTTTTTTGCTTTCGGATAAATCTTTTGATAAACTATTTTTTGATGTTGATGGTACTAAAACTTCAGGCTTTGTTCTATTATTCGTATTAACAACTGATTCTTCAGTTTTACATTCACTATCACAAGAATCAGTTTTTTTGCCATCAAATGTTTCTAATTTTTTACCAAATAATTCTTCCATAGCAGATAATGTAGTAGCATCGTCGTTTTTTAAATTTTCCGTTAAATTTTTATGTGGATACCATGTACAAATAGCTAAACCACTACCAGAAGAATGTAATTTATTGGATGATTTATTATCATCAACCTGCAAAGAAAAAATATTTTGAAGAAACTTTGTATTTAGCAATAGGTATCATAATAAAACTTTTAAATAATAAGTTACCTTATAACTTTCAATATGGTAAGGCACAAATTCAGACTGTATATTTGAGACAGCATTTTGCTGATTTAATACTTGAGAATGTGGTGGTCCCAAGGGATCTAACAATAAGGTCACAGCACTCGTATTATCCGCTCTAAGTTCAAATTTAATCCATTTATTTAATGCATTATCAACTAAGCATTTGGATGGGTTTAACCAAACTTGCTCCTGCAATAACAACAATTTTATTTTTAAAGAATCTATTACATTTTATAAAACTTTTATAAAACTCTTTACGAACCTGGCCATCAATTCCGCTACTTTTATTATTAAATTCAGCTTTTTTAACAATGCTAACAGCTTCATCAGGAGTCAGCATGTTCCAAAGTCCATCTGTACCAAAAATTAAACATCTGTCACGTGTTAAATCAATGTGATGAACTGAAACATCTGGTTCTGGTGAAACTACAAATCGATCTGAATCAGCATTGTAAGACCATAAATCACCTATTTTGATTTTAAAAAACCCAACATATACAATTAAAAAATAAGTTTTTAACAATATTTTTTATAAAATGATTTTTCAAAATTCATACCCAATGATCTTGCTACGGCTAAAAATGGAATTTGATCAATATGTGTTGACCTGGTTAATGGACCTTTATGCGATAACCGAGGTCGATGCCAAACAACTCGGGGAACTCCAGATTTTTGTACAACCATACCTCCAGCTTGACTTATTCTTTTAAATTCTGTGGGGTTTTCCGGTTTGTGATCTTGTGTTAAAGCAGCTCCCCTCCAATGATCTGAACAAGGATCTTGATAGCCTAAGACTATGCATGAGTCCCCGACATGACCAATGTAAACATTAGAACGTCGAATAAATGCAATACTAGCAGTTGTACCACTTGTACTAGGCCAGCCAGACTGAGTTTTAGGCCAATTTTCTATAAAAAAATATTAACAAAAATGAATTAAACTTAATTGAAATTTGAATACCTAATAACTCATAAAATTTATGTATGCATTATTTTTCTATAAAAAATTTTTTTACAAATTTTTTTTAACAGTTTAAAAAAATATTTTAAATTAAAAAAATAATAAAAAAAATACTACAACTGATAAAAAATAAACATATGCATAAAAACTGACCCTGACCAATACTTCCTGTATCAACCTTATCAGATAAACAGTTAATTTTTGTGTTATATTAGATTAAAAAATTTTAATCTTCTTCAGAATTAAATAAAATTTAATGTTTTTACATTATTTGGTAAATAATTTTTAGATAAGATCAAATACATAGTAGAGGTTGTGAGTCAAGAAAATTAAGTAGGCCAAGCAGTTCACGTACCCAAGTTTCTCCACATAGCATAGTGAGTTGCAATGAATCCATCTTTTATGGCGCGTAAAACGTCCGTATCATTATCGGACCAAAACCCTGGTTGTGATACAATTGCTTTCATTAAATGCTCTTTGGCAAAAGTAGCTGCTTCGTGTCCACCGTGTCCATCGAAAATCCCAAAATAAGCATATTCTAAGTCTAACTCGTCCTCCGTTTGTTGATAAGCTACTGAAAACATATCCTCCATATGCCTCCTGCTACCTTGATTGCAGTGTCCTGTGACACGAAGATTTACCCCGATTGTTGGTGCCATGTAATTGACTCTTGTACAAAAATATTTTCATAAAAAATAAATATTTTGATAAAAACAATGTCCGCCATTACAAAATTAATATCATTATGGCCAATCGCAGCATTTTATCTGGCGCTTACGTTTTAACTTACTTTTGTTAAAAATACATCATGAATGTTTTTAATTTTACTTATAATTAACTGCAAATACAAAATAATAAAATTTTAAATTTGAATTTTGACAAACAGTTACACAGAACTTAATTTTCAATAATGTAAACAAATGTAAAAAAAAAAAAATTTAAGTTGGCAACAATAAAAATAAAAACAAAGCAGAGAATTATAAAGCGTTCATGGCGTTTCTTATTCCATCGAGCTACAATAAAGCTTTTTGAAAAATTATCTATATTTGATATTTTTGTTTGAAATTGCTTTTTATAAAATGCTTTTTATCTGTAAATTACATAATTTTTAAATGAAATTTTTAAAATTTCTTTTATTTCAATGTAAATTATTCCTTTTATTTAAAAAAAAAACCTCATAAAAAAATAACTGACGTATTACCATTTAGAACATGCCAAATTTTATAAAAACTACTTGATTTAAAAAAAAAAAAAATTTTAAACAAATTGTTTTTAAATAATAATAATACATTTCAACTATTTTGTTTATACATTTTGTTTCCTTAACAGAATGATATAATCTTTATATAATAACCTCAAACTAAAAAAAAAAAAAAAAAAATTAATTTTCCGATTCAAACTTTTATTAAAAATATTTATTTAATTCTCCATTTTTATTATGAAGGTTCATTAAGTTAATTTTAATTCTCTTATTCGAAAATCAAACCTTTGATTTTGTTTCCTTAAATTTAAAATTAATAAAAGTTATAAATACAAAACAATATTTAAAAATAAAATAAAAAAAAAAACTGCCCCCAGAGAGGTTTGAACTCTCGACCCCTGGTTTACAAGACCAGTGCTCTGCCACTGAGCTATGGAGGCTCATGTAAGAAGGGACTATAAATTGGCATTATGAAATAGTTTTGGTATTTTTATTAAAAAAAATCAATAATTAATCGATTTTTCATTCGATACAATTTTAAGGAAAATTTAAAAATTAATAATATTAATAATAATGATAATAATGATAATAACAACAACGAGTTAAAAATGAAATAAAATAATTCATTAGGTTTTCATTTTAAAAATAAATAATAAAACTTACCGGAAAAGTTTTTTTTTTTTTTTACAAATTTTTCAATATAAAAGTTTTTAGGTATCATCTCTCTATTGTATTCACATAGAAAATATTATTATTATTATTAAATTGTAATTTAAACAATTTGAAAACAATTAAAAATTTCAATACTTAAGTATTTAAGTGAAATCAATTTATAAAAATTTCATTGTACCAGCCACAAACTATTTCATAAAAATTTAAATATAAACATTTAAATAAATAATTTTAAATTTGTCATTTATTTAAAATAAAACATACTCAATAGTATGATTGATAAACGTGGTTTTAGACACAAATGTCAAAGATTATTAATTTTTATTATTATTATTTTTCCAAGAATTTTCCTAATTTAAAAATTTTCTTTTTTATGTTTTATTTGTTTAAAATAATTTAATTATGTTTAAGAAAACTCGAAGGTCATTTGTAATTTATTTAAAATCAAATAAAATTTTACAACATTTATTTACTCTATGAAAAACTATACAAAAACGTTTTAAAAACAATCATTCATGTACCTGATGACCTGGATTTTTTATATATAAATTGAAATTTTATTTATTTTAATTTTCCCAAACGACATTCATTTCAATTATTATATTTATTTTTAGTATATAATACATAAGAGGAAGGATTTACATAATTAATGGATATTTTAATAAAAATAAAATAAAATAAAACAAAAAAATTTTAAAGCAAACAAATTATACATTTATATATATATATTGTGATTCGTTTTAGAACTTAAACCTGATTTTAAACACAGAATAAAAATTAAAAAAAACCGACAAAATAAACCAATGAGAACGTGAATTGAAAAAAACAACACAAATTAAAAAAAAAAATACAAAATCAATAATAATAATAATAATAATAATAAAATATAAAAAAAAGTCGTTAATCGATGACTAATTTTCTAAAAGATCCTTCGACACCGAATAAATCATCGTGAGTTTTAGGTTTTCCAGGTCTTTTGCTTTCATCAGCTTTAACATCTTCCTGTTGTATAAACCAGTCTTTGTATGATTCTAATTTTTTCAACCATTGCTCTGAAAGAAAAACCGGAAAAACGTAATAATAATAATAATAACATCCTTTCGTTATTATTCTTCGAAAAAAAATTTTTACCATTTATTGCACCGATGGGACCGGCAAAACCGCCATATTCTTCCGGAAGGATTTCTTTAGGAACGTATTTGTATAAACTTTCGTAACCGTCCGCGTGGAAAAATATTCTATTTTTAATTTTTTCTTTCAAAAAAGGTTTGACGAAATTAACAATTGTATCGACGAGTGGTGAAACATTGACGACGTGTACTTCTTTCAATTTTACCGGATAACCTTCCTGTTAAACGAAACGATCCTGTTGGTTATTTTTCCCATAAAACACCATCGTTAGGGTTAAGTAATAATAATAATAATAGTAACCTGTGCGCAAACCAGGAACTTTTTAATAAGGGTCGGAGTAAATTTGGCAAAATGAGTCGGTGTTGCAACGGCTGCATCTAATATATATATATCACCACCAACTCCGGTTGTTTCTTCCAAAAGGCGGATATCACCGATCATGAAAACAATTTTCATTGCTTCTGCAACGTTTGGTGTCGGTTGATCTTTGTCGATCCCTCTCATAACAATAACACGTCTTCCCTCAGGTGTCAAACCTGGCAAAGGTGGAATGTGTCTGTTTAATAGAAAAAAAAAAAACAATTTTTATTTATTTATATTATTATTGACATAACGATGACTACGACAAGTATTTAAATAAATTTTTATTATTTATTTTGTAATTACACTTGTTTCATTATTTCTTGAATAGCGGGGTCAAATGGGTCACGGTTAGAAAAAAATTCAGGAATAGCAGCTCTCATTGTAAAATACATATCTAATTTTCTTTTTGTTTTTTCCAATGAAAATTTACATCCTCTTAAAAATGTCATGAGTCTTCCATCATCTAAAACAAACAAATAAATAAATAATTTAATATATTTGATTGAACTAAAAGAAACATAAAAAAAAAAACTTACCAAAAGTTTTTGGAAGATGAGGTTGAAGTTCTAACCATTCTTTTATTGTTTGTAAATCTTGTGCTCTTGTATCGACATTTTCATTAAGTTCAGTTCGAATTTTCAATTGTTGTTCAGGAGTTGGTTGAACCAAAGTCATTTTTTTAAATGAAAATTTCTAGAAAACAAACAATATTAATAATAATAATAATTAAAAATCAGTGAGGCTCGAGTTTGTTGTTATTGTTGTTGTTGCTAATAATTCTATTGAATTACTATTTGAGAGAAATTTTTTTTTTGTATTTACTTAACATTTTTTTTTTTTTTGTTACTTTCTTTTTGTTTCGATTTTTTTTCTTTTAAATACAAAAATGTAAAAGTAATTTTTTAATTGTTTTTTAATTAAAAAAAATTGATTGATTGATTGATTATTGATTGTAGGAGAAAGAGAGAAAAGTTTATAAACTTTCATTTATAAAAAAAAAATAATTTAATATCATTTCTAACAATTTAATTTCACTCGTGATGTTCAATTTTGCTACACACAATTAAAAAAACTTTTCTTTTTTTCTTTTCTTTTTCTTTCTTTTCTTTTTCTTTCTTTCTTTTTCTCTTTCTTCTTCTTCTTTCCACAAATGACTGAGCAAAAACTATTTTAAATAAATTAAAAAGTGAAACTAAACAAAATGACATAAATTAAACTTAACTTATTTAAAAAAAAAAAATTTCCTTTTTTATTATTATTATTATTATTATTACGTTTTAAACTTGAAAACCACTTGATCCAAATAGTTTTCTAGTAACCGAATTTTTTTCGATTTAAACTATCAAAGAAAGAAAGAAAGAACAACAACATAAATTAAGTTCGTTACGTAACGATAATAAAAGTGAGACTCACACAACACACACAAAAATCTCCTTTCGATTTTTAACAGCCTGACTCGATACGAAAAAAATCCCCGAGGGGAGGAGGCGGGAGGAAGGAGGAGGAGGAGGAGGGAAGGGGAAGGGGAAGTAAAGGGAATTTTCCAAACCTTCTTCAAACAAAATCCCGCCCGATTTAAAAAATTTTATACCTTAATCCATTTTTATTAAGGTCAAATTTAAACGATTTAAATCATTTCAATTATTATTATTATTATACGTTTCGTTCGTGAAAAAAATTGTATGATAATAATAATAATTATGAGAATCGATACGAATGACTCAACAATATAATAATATTAAAAGAATTTGTAATACGTAATAAAACCTGAAACTTTGTTACCGAATCCAGAACAAATTATTTATTTATTAAAATGTATTAAACAACTTTCTCTGCTGGATTCTCCATTTTGTTCCCCCTACAATAATAATCTCATTCCTCTTTCAAGGTTATATTTTCTTACATCAGAAATCTCTAATACATAAAAATTATGTGATATACATAAATTTTTATTTATTTATTTATTTATTTAAATCGTTTCACAATCGATGGTAAAACCGAGTTCCTTACAATATCAACTTTTTTTTTTCGTTCTATCGATACCAGAAATTATATTATTATTATTATTATTATTATTACGTAACGAATGTGTGTAAATAATTAACAATTTCAATTGAATTTATTAATTAAAAAGAAACGCGCGTTAATAACAAATAATAATAATAATAATAATAATACATTGATTGATGACACAAGTGAAAATTAAAAAAAAAACTTTTACCAAGTAACGTAACATATACCGACAATGAGATTAAGGGGGGGCGGGGTGGAGGAGTGGGATAGGGGGAGAAAGAGGGGGAG